CTAGATATGTATCCTTGGCTGGAATCCAACCTGAGACCTTTCAGTCTTCTGGTCAACGCTCTATCTACTGAGCCAAAGCAGCTAGGCAGAGAGCTGGGCATTTATATACCATCTCCCACTAATCATTTTTGAAAGGCTATGGGGGTGGGCATTAATTTCCTAGAACTTCTGCCTGCTGAGAATATGGACAGAGTAGACTCTGGAAACCAATAAATTCCTCCAGAAAAAGAATTTCAAGTATATTTATTTAGAAGCACTGCAGTGTGCACAAAATATAGTGAAAACAAGAAATTAAAAAGTCATGCCGAAACCAGTTTGGCTCAGTGGTAGAGCGTCGGTCTGCGGACTGAAAGGACCCAGGTTCGATTCTGGTCAGGGGCATGTACGTTGGTTGTGGGCACATTCCTGGTAGGCGGTGTGCAAGAGGCAGCTGGTCGATGTTTCTCTCTCATCGATGTTTCTAGCTCTCTATCTCTCTCCCTTCCACTCTGTAAAAAATCATTTAAATATATTTTAAAAAAAAAAAGAATGCATATGTTTAAAACAACAGGTTTAGCCCCGGTCATTTGGCTCAGTGGATAGAGTATTGGCCTGTGGATTGAAGGGTCCCATGTTCTATTCCAGTCAAGGGCACATGCACAAGTTGTAGGTTGGATCCCAGTGGGGGACATACAGGAAACAGCCTATCAATGATTCTTTGTCATCATTGATGTTTCTATTTCTCTCTCACTCTCCCTTCTGCTCTAAAATCAATAAAAATATGTTTAAACAAAAACAAACAAAACAACTATAATAAAAAAACCCGGCAGGTTTAAATAAAACTAATTCTACATGTATCTCTTAAACATATAGCTATTAGTTTTCAGAATCTCTTAAGAAAGTAGCTTCTCAGAATCTGACAACTGGATGCTCAGAGCCTAGTGTAATTAATTGGTTTTTGATTAAAAAAAATATTTGTATACATGACTAGGCCAGATATGAAAAAAAATTAATTCATTATGTGATTATAAAATCCACCTCTTTATAAATAAACTATTATTAAGGAATTACACTTCAGATAATTATAATGCATTTATAATTTTTAGAAAACAAAGAGATAGGCTATATTAAATTGAGGAACATAATATTTTTTAAAAATAATAATACAGAACGAATCATATTCTTGATTGAAATAGTAAACAAACAAAAATACATTTTGCAATTGCTTTATAAAATCAAAGTGAATTAATCTTTTTAACATAAGAAATTTTAGAAAATTAAATGGAGAGAATTACTAATTTACAGTATTTAATTTCCTCAAATTCATTAAAATTTTGATATAGTGTCACAAATATTTCAAAATATCTGTCTAATAAAAATAACCTCAGTCTATATTAATCAATTGTGACAGATTCCTCTTTTCTGGAAGTAAATTTCTTCATCAAAATAATAAGGGGTTATGCCCTAACTCAGTGGTCGGCAAACTCATTAGTCCACAGAGCCAAAAATCAATAGTACAACAACTGGAATTTCTTTTGAGAGCCAAATTTTTTTAACTTAAACTTCTTCTAATGCCACTTCTTCAAAATAGACTTACCCAAGCCATGGTATTTTGTGGAAGAGCCACACTCAAGGGGCCAAAGAGCCGCATGTGGCTCCAGAGCCAGTTTACTGACCGGTCATAACTGGTTTGGCTCACTAGATAGTGAGAATGGTGTCGGTTTGATTACTGTCAAGGGTGTGTACCTTGGGTGTGGGCACATCTCCAGTAGGGGGTTGGTAGGAGGCAGCTGATCAATGTTTCTCTCTTGTTGGTATTTCTGGCACTCTATCTTTCCCCTTTCTTTCTGTAAAAAATCAATAAAATATATTTTTAAAGAATAAAAAAATATGGGGTTATAACTTTAGAAAGATATTAGCTCTCAAGTCTAGAAAGTAACTATCAGAACATGAAATTTAATGAGATATAATATTTTCACAATTTGGATAATGCTCCAGAACTAGAGATGGCCAGAAAATTAATGTTTTATGGGGCAATTTTTATAGGCAACCTATCACAAGAAGTTAAAGGCTAAATTATAATATTAATCATTTAAAAATTGTTATATCCATTCCATTGTCTGCCTCAATTTGTCATTGCAAATATAATCTTTACCTGCAGATTTTTGAGTTTGTTTTGTTTGTTTGTTTGTTTGTTTGTTTTGGTAATTTTATTTTATGCCCATCTTGTGTTTTAAGTTCTCTTAAGATTGATGCAAGTTCCACTTGTGGAACCAATTTAGAAAATAAAATATAAATGCATCCTGTACAGGAGATTATTCTAAAACCACAACTCCAACAGGAAAATAGCTCCTATTTTTTTAGAATTTTCTAAAAATACTTAAAGCAAAGGGCCTGAAGTAAAGTAGCTTACTTGTTTAAAAATATGTTTTTAAACATTTTGTGCTTTGGGCCTCTGTCTACTTCATAAAAATGACTATCCAATCAAGTAGTTCCACATCAAGTACTAAAAATCCCAGCACTGCTATATGTAACACTGTAATCTCATTTTAGGCACAAAAGCTGCCATATTTAAACATAGCATTAATAAGTTAGTTACCTTCTTAATAACAGTAATAGAACTTGTTTAAATTTGTGAAGTTTCATGTACAGAAAACATACTTACACCTAAAAACTGTCGTCTTCAAGTAGGTGATATTTGGAACAGGTGAATTTATCAAATAGGCCTAATTGTCTCTATTGTGAAGTGTTCTTATCAGTCAGAAATTTTTGCAAAATTACTATCTGAAGGAGTTCATCCAAACCTTTAAGAAACGCATAACTCCTGAAAACACGTCTTGATCCGCTGAAGAAAGATCTCTGGCATTCCTTGGAAAATTTACATCCATAGATTCCATAATTGAATACAGTTTAATATAATATAATATAATATAATATAATATAATATAATATAATATAATATAATGTAATGTAATGTAATGTAATATAATATAATTTTAGACAGCTTTCTAATAAATCCTGCCACAAAAAAATACTGAAAATAGTGCTTCATCATGGTTTGCATCACAGTGATATTTCACTTAAACAATATAGAACAAATGTTAGCTCTGGTTAGTGGGAAACATCCAGAAGTAGGGAACAGAGCTAGCCTTCAGGAAGGTGACACAAGCCTTACGGTATCAGGGTCTGACAAAACTGGAAGGACCATTGCTACCATTTCCACCAAAGTATGCAATGGGAACTAAGTCACTGAGGCACTACTGAGTCTGAACAGTCAGAGATATGAACAGATACAAGAGTGGATGCAATGCAGAATAGTACTGAAAAGGTTTTATAGGAAGAAGGGAACAAAGGAATGTTTTTAAACATCCTTAAAAATGTCAGTTCCCTCTTTGTATTAGATTGTTAACCAAAATACATTTTTAAGTTGTTATTATTAAACCTATTGTGGCAATACTAGTCACAAACTCTTATTCATAACCTTTGGGGTGTGTTTTTCAGAATATCTCAGATTTAAGGAAGATAATATGATACATTTACCATGTATTATATGATACACTCAGTTGGACCTAAGGCAAAGCTGTGTAATCAAACGCATTTTTTTTCCTGAGTAAAACATATGATTATTCATACAAAGTATGGTAAATAAACTGTATAAAGTATCTTCTATTTTTTTTCTATTACAGTTAGGTCAGATGTTGCCATCTAACTAGAGCACATCAAGTTTTGGTCAGATGTTGCCATCTAACTAGATCACATCAAGTTTTGCTAAAAAATAAAAAAAGTCACCTATAAAATCAAACAATATATATATTGTTCAATTTTCAGAACATTTTAGATTTTAGAATTGTAATTAGGTATTAAAGTTGTGTATTTAAAAAATTATAATAACAAAATGCTTCTATAACTTCTAAGTAGTTATAGAAGCATTTAATTCATTTAAAGTAAATTTAGTTTAAAATTACATATGAATAGAAATACTTAAAAAAATTTTAAAGTATATATAATAGGAGAAGGTGTGATACTGAGGTTGGGAAGTGTATGGTAAGGCCAAGCTGTGTGCCAGTGCGAACAGGAAGATGACATGCAGATGCCCAAGTTACTCCAAGAAATGCCTAAGGGGCTAAACAATAGATTTATTCTCTCTCAGCCTTTCCAGAAAGGAAGCAAGCACCTGAATGTGGAAGGCTACTCACAAATAAAGTCTTGTCACCCAATGCTGAGTCACCTGAATATTAATGATATTCAATATGGGATCTGATAAACAGATCTAGTGTAGTTCTAATCACTTTTCTAACTATGCAAATCCTATCATGCATTGAAAGAAAAGGAAATAGAACAGAATGAAATATAGGTAGTAAACCCGGAATTCTTTACTTGTTACTTATGCCTGAATTACTTTAAGGCAAGAAAAAATCCTGCTATTCTAACACTAAGGAATTAATAAATGAAATTTAAGTTCTTCTAAAGAGACAATGGAATGGTGAATAAATCTGTTAAAAATATCAAAATGATTGCAGGACTTTAATTTGTTTTGGTGGGGAAGATAGTAAGGAGACCAAAAGGGTTTTAAGTGTATTTGTTAACAGCAAAGAGTGGGAAAATGAGACTAAGAACTAAAATAAATCAATAAACACTTTCCACGTGGCACATTTTTTGAGGTTCTGACTATTTTCAACAGAGTTGATCACACAGAGATTTTGGCATTTTACTATCAAATAGCTCTATATATGATAAGCATTAAAAAAAACAGGATAGTTAAAATTACACATCTATAAAATTAACAAGCATTCAACACTAATAATTCATTGGAGAAACATTCAATTATATTTATTGTTTTATTCATTTGTTTCTTAACTGTTCTTTAACTGTTCTTTAACTGTATTATTTTATCATAAAATTATGAAATTTTCTATAGGATATTTTTTTCTTTTGGAAATATATTAAATGAGATATTATATTATATACCTCTCATTCTCAACTAAATAGTTCTTAATCAGTTTTCTGGAAAATTTACTTACAGTACACATCCACTCTGATTGACTTTATCGCTGGGGACCCCAAGCCATTTTCTGCTTTACAGTAATACCGGCCTCCTTGGTTTCGCTGAATATTTGTAATCCTTAAAGTCTCATTGAAGACACTTGAGTCTTGGAATCTGTCAGAGGCACTTCCTGCTGTTTTGGTCCACCTGATCTGAGCAAGCATCAACAAAGATTGTTACTTTAGGTTGGTTTTCTCAAAGAAATATTAAAAATCAAATAATTTGAAGAACTTTCTTTCAGATCTACTACACTGCCATCCCTGGAAAGTTACTAAAATTTAAAAAGAAAAATTTATACATATACATATACTGTAACTAACTTATAAAATGTTAAGTGCAATGTTATCATCGTATAGTGTATATAATTTTAATTCAATTGCATAGAATTTATCAATAGCTTAATCAGTGTGGAGGACAAATAAATATAATATAAAAAAGTTAAAAATATGTAGAGTAGTCACCACTAATATGTAGTTTCACTTTCTCCCATTTCAGGTACTTGTGGTCAACCCCAGTCTGAAATATTTCATGGAAAATTCCAGAAATAAGTAATTCCTACGGTTAAATTGCACACTGCTATTCTAAGTTACATGATGAAATCTCGCACCAACCCACTCTATCCTGCCCAGGATGTAATGCATCAATAAATCAACCCTTATCACTTAGTAGCCTTCAGTTATCACATCTACTATTACAATATCACAGTGCTTGTGTTTAAATAAACCTTATGTTTTTAATAATGGTTCCTAGCCCACTCACATAACTTTTATTTCAGTATATTGGTATAATTGACATATATTTATTATGAGTTTTTATTGTTAATCTCTTACTTATAAATTAAGGAGTGCGTGTATAAGAAAAAACAGTATATATAGGGTTCCTCACTATCCACAGTTTCAGGCATCCACTGAGAGTCTTATAAGTACTCCTGAGAGCAAGTGGGGATCTACTGAAGTCAGTTGTAAATACTAATTAGTTTCTCTTTTTTGTTGGGCAGTTAAATTTTTATTTTATATTTTCCAAACCTTGTAAGATTCTTTTAATTTATTAGCACAGGTACTACAAGTAGGCTCTCAATTTCTTTTTGAACAAGCTTCATTATTTTATTTTAATTTTTTCTGTTTGATTTGGATAATCCTATATAATAAAAGGCTAATATGCAAGTATATAGAACAGTGGAACATCCAAACAGCTGAACAACCTGTTACTATGACATCTGCTGACCACCAGGGGCGCACACAGAACATGGTGGGCATCAACAGCAGGCAACAGAGCACGGAACATGGCAGAGCAGATGAGCAGGGGCTCCAGACCAAGGTGAGGCCATCACTGTCTTAGGGGCGAGCCTCTGGCGGGCACTAAAAATTCTTTGCTGCTGTGCATTGCAGTCCCATCCAGCACTCGTACCTGCTGCTGATGTTAACCCCGCTCACACACACTGCCAGCTCTGAGCTTCCTCTTGCAACTATTGCCAGCAACAGCCCTGCTCACACCTAGTGCTGGCCCCACTCACACCTGCAGCCAGTGCTGATGCTGATGCTCACACCCACTTCCAGTGCCTGGTTCTGGTCCTAATCACTCAGGACCATCAGTGGGTGCAAGTGGTGGCTGCAGGCCCCAATTGCCCCTGAGGTCTTCACCACCTCCCCCTGCTCTGAGGGATGATTGGGGAAGCAGACACTGGTCAAACCCGCTGATGGCACTGGCCATGCTCATACCTGCTGCTGGTGCTGGCCCCAATTGCTCTGCACCATCAGCATTTGTACCTGGGCCAACACCATTAGCCTGTGGGAGCAGCAATGATGGCAGTGGGGTTGCTGGCAGACAGGCGACCAGGGGCAATGGTGGGAGGGGCAAGGTAGGGGTGTAGAGAGTGGGCTTAGACCTGCCCCTATGCCCACTGCAGCCTCTCAGCCCACAGTTCCTTTCAAGATGCATGAATGTGTGCACTAGGCCCCTAGTTTAAGAATATTGCTGTAAAGGCTTATTGAGAGTACTAGAGACCCAGTGCACAAAATTTATGCACAGGGAGTGGGTCTCCCAGTCCAACCTTCACCCTCTCACAATCTAGACTTCTGGCTCCTAACCGCTCTTATGCCTGCCTACCTGATATCCCCTAACCACTTTGCCTGCCTGCCTCATCACCCCTAACCAATCACCTGTCTGTCTCTTGTCCCTAACTGTTTGCCTGATCACCACTAACCTGCCTGACTACCACTATCCATTCTGCCTGCCTTATTGCCCCTAACCATCTCTGCCTCAGCCCCCATGGCAATGGCTTCATCTGGAAGGACATCCAGATGATGTCTAGAAAGTAGTTTGGCTGTCCAGTTTAATTATAATATTATGCTTTTATTACTATAGATATGTAATTCTTCACACTTGGTTGTTAAAAAAATTATGGTTTTGCTTTAATAAGCCCACAAATGACTTATCAGTTTTGATAATTAAAATTCACTTTACATCAATAATTATTTCCAAAAAATGTGCAAACTTTCCCAAAGAGAACACCTGTATTACACTGCCAAAGCATTTTGAATATATAAAACATTCCATTATAAACAATACTCTTCTTTTAAACACAGCTGTGTAGAGCAGACTTAGTTTTTGCTAGCAATAAAGACACATTTAACTCAAGTTTTGTGTTATTTTAATTTATAAAACCTGAACAAAAGCCACATTATAGTACTGTAAATGATAAGTAAAAATAATTTTTTCTCTCTTTGTACTTGCTGTACAATATATTGGGTTGGCAACTACGTAATTGCGGATTTTAAAAAGAAAATCAAAGACAATTTTTTCATGGAACTAAATAACTTTATTCTGTAATGTATTGCCCATTTTGATCGATGACCTTTTGCCATCTTTCAGGCAGCATCATAATCCCACGTTCAAAAAACGTCTGGTTTTTATTAGCAAAAAACTGAATCAGGTACGATTTGACATCATCATCATTATTGAAATTTTTACCATTCAAGGAGTTTTGTAAAGATCGAAACAAAAAGTAATCAGATGGTGCAAGGTCAGGACTATATGGTGGATGTGGCAAAACATCCCAACCAAGCTCCATTAACTTTTGCCGAGTGACCAAAGATGTGTGTGGCCTTGCATTGTCATGATGGAATACAACACCTTTTCGATTTGTCAATTCGGGCCGCTTTTCTTCAACTGCATTGTTTAATTTCGTTAGTTGTTCAATGTAGACATCAGAATTGATCGTTTGGTTAGGTGGTAAGAGTTCAAAGTAGACAATTCCTTTGTAATCCCACCAAACTGATAACAAAACCTTCTTTTGATGAATATCAGCTTTTGATGTTGTTTGAGTTGGTTCACCTGGCCTGCTCCACGATCTTTTCCGCTTGATATTGTTGTAAACAACCCATTTTTCATCGCCAGTTATCAGTCGTTTTAAAAATGGATCATTTTCATTACGTTTCTTTAGCAAATCGTAGCTGCTAATGCGTTGCGTTAACTGTGATTCTGTCAGTTCGTGAGGAACCCATGTATTGAGTTTTTGAACATAGCCAAGTTGTTTGAAGTGATTTTCAATGCATGTATGTGATACATGAAGCTTCTCTGCAATCTCACGTGTTGTACTGTGACAGTCCAAATTGATTATTGCTTTGATTAGGGCGTCATCAACTTCAACTGGACGACCAGAGCGTTTTTCAACTTTGAGTGAAAAATCACCAGAACGAAATTTGGCAAACCAATTTTGACACTGCCGTTCTTTTAAGGCTTCGTCACCATAAACAGCACATAACTTTTTATGAGCTTGCGATGCGTTTTTCCCTTTGCGGAAATAAAAAAGCAAAATATGACGAAAATGTTCCTTTTGATTTTCCATTTTTCAATGAACGCCAAATGAAAAGTAGAAAACAGATCAAAAAACTTTTTTTACTGATTAACAGCTGAATAGCCAACTATCAAATAACAAAATGTGTTTTACATTTGTACTACGTCTGCAAACCTAAAAATTCAACTGAAGCCATATATGTGTGAAACCCGCAGTTACTTAGTTGCCGACCCCAATATATTTGCATGTTTTTATTTTTAGATTGAGAAATGGCAGGTGGAAATCCCTGAAAACACAGATGCAGAGCCATGGAAAAAACAGTCTTCAAAATTGAAATCCTGTAATAGTACCATTACTTAAGCTATTTTCATATATTAAAGTTTATGACCTGGTGACATTAAAAGTATCTTTTAAAAGTTATCCAAATAATTAAAATATCAATATAAGTATAATCATACTTGCCCTTAATTATGAGTTAAATGAAAATATTACTTAGAGATGATGAAAACTCAGTAATTCACAAAATTAAATATCAAACTTTTATTCAACACCTACTCTATGCATGGAGTATACACAGAAGTAAGACATGATTTCTGATTTCAAGTAGTTTATAAGCTGATTACATATATATAAAAGCCTAGGCGACCATTGAACAGATGATTGAACAAGCTATGTGGGGCAATTAGGCTGGCAGGGGGGTTAGTGAGGAGCAACCAAACAACCGAACAGCAGGCTGTTGGGGGCGACCAGGGTAGTGGGAGTGGGTAGTGAGGTGCAACAAGGCTGGCAGAGGGGAGCAGTTGTTAGGGGCAACCAACCCAGCTTGGCAGGCAATTGGGGGTAACCAGGCTGGCAGGGTGGCAAGTAAGAGGAGGCCAGGTGAGCAGACAGGTGGTAGTTTGGAGCCAGTGGTCCCGAATTGTGAGAGGAATGTCCTACTTCTGGTTTAGGCCCAAACCTGGAGATCAGACCTAAACCAGCAGTCACACATTCCCCAAGGAGTCCCAGATTGGTGCAGGCTGGGTTGGGGGGACACCCCCTATGCACAAATTTTGTGCAATGGGCCTCTAGTATGCTCGTAAAAGCACAGGATATAATTGGGGTCCTGGTTTGATAAATGTTAGTTATGTTTGATAACTAACATTTCCATAGTGAAATCTAGGATTCTATTTTTATTCAAATTTTAAAATCAGAAGCCAACCATGTAAGAAAAACTTAAATAAACAAATTATATATACATATTTCTCATAAAGAAATATGCCAATTGTAAGATAATAGATATTTCTAAGATAAAAATCCTACCTAATAAAAGAATGATATGCAAATTAACCACCACTCTACTATACTCACAAGCCA